CATGTCTACCTGGTACCACCAGCCCAAACGCTAATCTTCCCGTACAGGCTGCCACTGAGAGATGGAAGAAAAAGAAAAGAAAGTCGTTAACTGAACCTTCTAGTCAGAATGACGACTGTCATACGTGTGGTCCTGCCGTAGCCAATGAGGATGCGGTCTTCGAGTGTAACACCTGCAATACATGGGTGCACGGTCTGTGCAATGAGGGCATACTAGACCAATATTACACCTCCATAGCGCGCTACCCATGCACGTGGTCCTGGCACATCTGCCAACAGCGCCGTGTAAGGTCAGTGTTTTCTACAGGCTCGCTAAGGGAGGTCATAAAAGATACCGCAGTGGCTACTGTGATGCCGGCACCCACACAGACCACTACCCAAGGTCCAAGTGGCAACAGTGTCAGCAGTCCAAAAAGACCCGAACGGCGACCAGATATGCGACCAACTACATTGGTCCCTAACCCTGAAGCCACTTTAATGGCTATCCTCACCGTACATAGGGAAAAATGGGTGACAGTGGTAAAGAAGGTGCACGCTCTCCATAAAAAGCCGCCCGCAGTGCACGAAAACAGAGAAGTTGATGATAGATAGAGCTTCATCATCCTATTTCACGCTTCCGTGTGCCATGACAGCCTCCTTGAGAGCAGAGAACCTTTTGATAAACGGCAATGGGAAAACGTATGCACCATACTACGACTGAGTAGCCTAGAAACAAAGCTGTGCCGGTTCTACATAGGCAACTACTCAGGGAAAGCCTTCGCCGATGAGAGTGACCCTGGGTTCCGCTGAGGAAGCGAAAAGCTTCTTGTTGCTGTCACACACACTAGTCATCAACATGTCATCCAGCATTAGAGCCACACCGGACATTCCATGGTCAGCAGGAAAAGTGTCTCGCGAGGCACCCCAAACGCTGAAACTAACAACTGCGGTTGTCCATAATATTCGGAACTAACAACCTGCACAGTAATGGAAAAGTATGCTCACGATGTCCTGCAATGGCAGCGGTTATCAGCGAGCATAGGGTTAAGTGGGATAGCGGCGGCGGTCTGCCGACTGCCGCATCCCTCTTATTTGACGACGATAACATCACCCCGGTTGATGGCTGTTAACTTCGGCTGTCAAAATATTTTGACCAAAGCACTGCAAACTTGGTACACAGTAAGAGATAACACCAGCGGGGACGTTCGCCGCTGTGAAAGCAGGACGCTGCGACAACAGCGATTGAAAGCTCCTCCTAGTGCTGGTCACCACCACTGTCAACAAACAAGGTGTACAGACAAGCCTAGACTCTATGGAACCCCCAGAAACCACTGTGGGAAAAGACGTGATTGGGCAGCTTCCACCGCAACTGGCCGTTCTATAGCAAGTTTCGCCATTATGCACGCTCCCCTTCAGTCTGCCAGCACCAAGACACCCTATGTCGTTAGAAACACATCCATGTGTCTTTACGGTAATATGAGGGGACTTAGAAGTAAGATGAGGGAATTACGATTTCTCTGTTCCTGCCCTGCTCCAACGGTCATAATCCTAGCAGAAACTTGGTTATCACCGTATATTGGTGACATCGGAACTAGTATGGACGGTATGCGTCCGTCCAGGAGAGACATAGAGTTCAGGGAAGGAGGCGATGTGGCGCGCTTACAAGTGATGACTTTAAAAATGATCGAGCAACGGACACCGCTTTCAGGGCTCCCAGACTCCATCTGGTGTCAATTAAAGGTTGCACACACCAAGTGCCTGGTCGGAGGCGCCTACAGAACTCCTATTAGCGACGTGGAACATAACCGGCAACTGTTGCAGGTCACGTCCGGAGTGGCTCCTATGGGATATGACCAGGTCATTATAGCCGGTAACTTTAATGCTACAACTCTCAATCTTGGGCAGGATAGAGGAACCTCAAGCCGAAGATTCGACCGAAACCTACTCAACACCATCAAAAAGCCTGGGCTGCACAAGAATATTGGCGATGACACTCGCTGGGGGTCTGGCGGAAAGCCGTCCAAACTGGACCACCTTTTTACCAGTGACCACCTGCTGGTAGAAAATATGCGGGTCCAAACCCCCCCCCCGGCGGCAACGATCACGGCGTCGTGGTGTTCCATCTGGTACTCAACGAACAACCGTCATAGAAGGGATCTCGCCCTTGTCTTTGCTATAGCAAGGCAAACTACGTGGCGACGAACCAATACCTGTCGACAGCACCGTGGCCTCAGAAGTGGGGCAACCTGTCGATTGATCTCCATTGGGAACTAGTTAAAGAAATCAAAAAAGCTGTCTCTGAAAACGTCCCAGAAGCCACAGCAATACCACGGAAGCGAACCTCATGGCTGAAGCGGGGCACTGAACGCCTTTTGAAAGCCAAGAGGAAACCATGGCATAAGTGAAGGACTTCCAGAAAGGAGTCTGACCACACCGCATATATGGCGCGAAGAAATCGATGTAACATCAGGGTGAGGGGAGACAAGAGGTCTTTCCAGATGAACCGCGCCCGGAAGCTCGAAGCGAACCCCGAAAACCTAAACCGATTTAATGTAGGCAGAAAATCCGCCAGCCAGGGGCTTGCGTCCTGAACGGCCTAGACGGAGAGAACCTCTCCAGACTAGAGATCGCCGGAGCCTCTAGCGCCGCCTTTGATGCACAACTGGACGCGTCCCTATCGAGAGAAAGTTGCCAACTGTTCGACCGAAATTCAGCGCCACCAAATGCGGTAGAGTTACCTGGAACAAAGGCAACTCCCACTATAGTCCTCGAAAAGCTATCAAAGCTCGGCGTAGAGGAATCACCAGGGTGAGATGACATCCCACCGACTGTGTTGAGACAATGCGCTAGTGCCTTGTGCGGTCTTGTGAGTAGTCCGTTTCAACACTCCTTCCACGGGAGCGGAAAAGTGTTATTCTGTCCTCCATCTTCATAGGAGGAGACAGGCAAGACCCAAAATGCTACCGACCCATAGCCCTTCTACTAGTGGTGTCAAAGGTAATTTGCAGCCCGGTAGATGACGCTTTCAGGGGGTGCTGTGAAAGGAGGGGAGCACCTAGTGAAGCTCAACACGGTTTCAGAAGGGGTAGGTCCCATGCCTCAGACATTCTGGCGGCAGGCAGTGAGTGGACGGCGTGCTGGAGCCTCCGAATTCCCGTCCTTGTTATTCTCCTGGATTTTGCTAAGGCCTTTAACACAGTCCTACATACCATTCTTATTCACAAAACGGCAAGGTTGGGTATCAGATGACAAGTTCTTTCATCGTTACAGGACCATCTAGACGGTAGACAGTTCTGCACAAAGGCCAACAGAGTCTGCCCGGCTTGGAGGACATCATCATCTGGTGCATCACAAGGAGCGATTCTGGGTCCACTGCTATTCCTCCTTTTTGTGAACGACCTCCCACTGAATCTCAGCTCCCCAATTCTATTCTACACTGATGATATTAAGTTACGGAGAGCTGTGACGTTGGAAACAGAACCAAGTGCACTGCAAAGTGACCTCAGGTTACTTGCAGAGTGGGTGGGTGTTAATGGGCTAGCATTTAATCTAGACAAGTGCTGAGCCATGTTTCTCTGCACCCCAGACTCTCAGAAGGTACCCCATTCTCTCTGTGGAATACAACTCTCCCACACCACCACGGGGAAAGACCTGGGACTAATACAGACTGACAAACTAGACACTAGCTCCAATTAACCAGGAGATGCCTCCAGAGCCTACGCAGTGCTGCACTTCATGCTCAGACAACTGGGTGCCCTGACCCCGAAACTCTTTTTGGAGCTGTACAAGACCTGTGCACGACCACACCTAAGAGGTTCACAACGTCAGTGCACCACCATACCTGAAAAGGGATGCGAACCTCCTAGAGAAAGTCCAGAGGCAAGCTGCTGAAGGTGTCGTGGGAACGAGGCGAAAACCATATAACGACGGGCTGAAAGATCTTGGGCTCTACTCTTTGAGCTACAGTAGATTACGTGGTGACTTGATAACGACTTACAAAATACTAAGTAACCCAAGTCATCCTAACAGTGGAACCCTACCGAACGGCCACTATGTCGATCGTCATGGTAACCCAAGGAGGGTCGCCCACCAAGGAGCGAAAACCCGTGTGTGGTCACAATTCTTCTCTCTGCGAGTTTGTGGCCATTGAAAAGCATTGCCTGCCGAGATTGCTACTGCTCTCTGCAGATATTTTTCATCCCTTTTTTTAAAACCAGTCTGACCAACTGTCTGCTGGCACGACACTTGAAGAACGCATCTGCACCACAGTCCTCGGAACAAAAAAACAAAACAAACAGCACTCCCTACAAATTCAACCAACACCCAACCGCCCGTCGGGTACAGCAGTCGAGTGGGTAGACCTACTGCATTGGAATCCACCAAAGACCTTGAACCGTTCCGCAAGACCTAGAAACATGCGTGAAGGAATCAACTGGTTCACACTAGCTTGTAAAAAGATATTGGACACTGGGTATTGGAACCTCATACTTACCTGAAGACGTATCCTTCAGTTACTACCCCTTACTAAGAGCATTAGCATTTCTGTAACCTAACTCACTTGTCCTGCACCATTTATTAGGGTTCTTCCTATCACTTATCCCCCAACAAATGACTTTTGATCCTCCTTCCCTTCGGTTCCGCTCACTTTCGCCTTGCTTCTTCCGTTATTATTCCTGTCCCTTGGTTTTGCTGCACATCTTTTCTATCCTCTTTTTGTAACCAGTCAAACCAACTGTCTGGCGACACAACACTTGATGAACCCATCTACGGCAGAGTTCTTGGAAAAGTCATTTAGTCCCTACAAACTTTGTCAACAACCAACCACTTGTGGGGCTAACCAGAGCTACAGCAGGCCAGGGGGTAGACCTACTGCATCGAAATCTACCACAAAACCTGAAAGCGAATGGAAAGAGATAAAATGGTTCAAACTGGCCTGTAACAGGATATTGAACGCAGTGTGCAATCGTACACAAAGTTGAAGTATGTGGTACACAGTGGATTTGAGTGTACTCTTTGCGCGCCATGCTAGGACAGCTAAAGGAGATACCGTGTTACTGCCCACATTGCACCCGATTCTTACATGAGAAGTATTGTTTCTCCCTTCGCTATGGAAGTGTCAAGAACAGCTACACAGATCATTTGTTTGTAGTATCTTTCAGTGTCATACTTCTCTTACAGGTCTCCAGTGAACTTTCCGAAACGTTCCTCCTTACGAGATGCCAGAATCCCTAATCGATCTACGGTTTGTACTTCACTTTTTTTAATTATTGCAGTCGGTAACTTACTATGGCGTTTGTGTTAGTTGAGAATTTGAGGTAGTTATATATTCAGTCATAAGTATATATATATATATATATATATATATATATATATATATTTCGATAACGCTATTAGAAGACGAAGATTATCTGAAAAATGTGATGTATTTGCCCAATACATTTCGAACAATCTGATCATACATTTACTTGTCAAGTCAATTTATATATGAAAATTAAGGGTCAAATATAGTGAATATGAAAAGGCTGTGACACTAGTCTTGGTAATATAATCAGATAAGGATTACCAAGGTAAATTAGGTGAAACCGCAAACTGTTTTTGTACACACAGCGGAGGATTTAGTTTACGAATGGCTAACGCTTCGGCAAAAACTTCAGTATTCGCCCCTGATTATTCCTGTATATTATCTTAAACGCTGTTTTCGTATTAACCCTGTGATTCATTTCAATAATATGTTTTGCTGTAGATGACGATGGATGTCTGTCACCTGCACTTATCAAAGTTTGTGTGTTAAAATGTTTTTCTAGCCATTTGGGGATGTGTTCACCCACCCTAGTCTGCATTGAACGATTACTCCTCCCTATGTATGTGAGCCCACACATACATGTAAATTGGTAAACGCAGTAGGATGTGATGTAATCATTATAACCCAGGTCGGAAACAGAGATGCATTTTAACTACGCAACACTTCAAGTCCCTGAAAAACTTACAGAGGAATCCTGATGTGATAATTCTTAAGCCTGATAAAGGATCAGGTGTTGTGTTGATGGACAAAGCAGACTACAAAAATAAAATGTTGTCTATTCTTTGTGATAAAAGTAAATTCTTGGCAGATGTTCCGTCAGAGGATATAAGAAAATTAGAAAGAAAAGTAACAACTAGTCTAGTTAAACTCCTTAACACGGATGTCATTGCTAAAGCGGAGTTTAATTCCTTGAAACCCATGGGATCTAATTTCCCAAATCTATATGGACTTCCAAAAATTCACAAAATTGATAATCCACTACGCCCAATATTGTCAATGTGTCAGTCTCCCACACACAAATTGGCGAGGTGGTTAGCCGAATTACTGAGCCCGATTCGTAATGATTTATGTAAGTATTCACTGAAAGATACGTTTGAACTTGTTGATTATCTTACTGATTTGAATATTAAAAATAAGAAAATGTATTCTTTTGATGTTAACTCTCTGTTTACAAATGTGCCTCTAACGAAGACAATTAATATTCTTTGTGACCACATATCTTCGAATTATCCTTCTTTCCCTATTCCTTCAACTTATTTGAAAGAACTGCTTTTATTATGTACTGATAAGGTTCATTTCACTTTCGAAGGTGAACACTTTCGGCAAATTGATGGTGTAGCCATGGGGAGTCCATTAGGACCGTTATTAGCTGACGTATATATGTCACATACTGAACTAATGGCCCAAGATCTAATCACCAATGTCACACTCTATAGAAGGTATGTGGATGATATCTTTGTAATATGTGACACAGATGAGGATGCCAAGAGGTTATTAAAAAGGCTTAATACCGTACAAGATCATATCAGTCTGACATGTGAGGAAGAAAAAGACCATCAACTTGCATTTCTTGATATACTCTTGTGCCGGAGGGAAGATGGATCTATAAAACGATCAATATATAGGAAGTCTACTTGGACAGGACAGTATTTGAATTTCCATAGTTTTTGTCCGATGAAATATAAGAGAGGCTTGGTAAGATGCTTGTTCAATAGAATCCAACGTATTTGTACATCTGATACGATGGATGATGAGAATAAGTTTCTGACAGACACTCTAGTGGAAAACGGTTATCCATTACAGTTTGTCAACCATTGTAAAAAACAGTTGACCCCAAAGCCTACAGTTTCCTCGGTCCCGAAGAAAAGCATATTTCTTAAAGTACCATACAGAGGGGAAACAAGTAGTATGATATTGAAGCAGAGATTAAAATCTGTTATCAGTAAAACATACTATGCAGCTCAGCTTATCATTGTTGAGACGACAAAACACCTGCTTCACCACAAACCTCAACCTCGCACAAATGATTACATCACATCCTACTGCGTTTACCAATTTACATGTATGTGTGGGCACACATACATAGGGAGGAGTAATCGTTCAATGCAGACTAGGGTGGGTGAACACATCCCCAAATGGCTAGAAAAACAGTTTAACACACAAACTTTGATAAGTGCAGGTGACAGACATCCATCGTCATCTATAGCAAAACATATTATTGAAATGAATCACAGGGTTAATACGAAAACAGCGTTTAAGATAATATACAGGAATAATCAGGGGCGAATACTGAAGTTTGCCGAAGCGTTAGCCATTCGTAAACTTAATCCCCCGCTGTGTGTACAAAAACAGTTTGTTGTTTCACTTAATTTACCTTGGTAATCCTTATCTGATTATATTACCAAGACTAGTGTCACAACCTTTTCATATTCACTATATTTGACCTTTAATTTTCATATATAAATTGACTTGACAAGTAAATGTGTGATCAGATTGTTCGAAATGTATTGCGCAAATACATCACATTTTTCAGATAATCTTCGTCTTCTAATAGCCTTATCGGAATTTATTAAAGGGACTAATTGTTCCAAATATATATATATATATATATATATATATATATATATATATATAAACCTGGCTCATGCTTGGTGACTGTGATAACCCAGTGGACAATAGGTCATTCATCAAAATACCCATTGCTTGTTCGTCTTTCTCCTTTCTGGCTGCAATTAAATGGCGTTGTAATGTAGACATAACGAAATGAAAACGCGTATCTCCGTGTATTCACTGATAAGGATATTGGGCCGGTCACCCCATTCTGATCATTTTGGTTAATTTATATCCACAGAGACCCTCTTTCTTTTTAAAAATGCTTATCATGTGAGCTGATTTAGGAATTGTCCTGGTGCGAACTTGACAGACGCAGAGGCCAGTCACTAATTATTAGAACTCGTTATATACCTATGAATACGAGGTCAAGGAAGATCACAATAGCGTAGTCGGATGGAATAGTATATTTACGAGGTCGTGCTAAGATACCGATGCGTTTCAACTAACTGGCTAGAGGGTCGATTACGAGCGGTGTAAAGTAATACGACAGCGTGCCAAATGGCTAGGATGCTTGACCAGGTGCCTTCAGCTTAGTGAGTCCAGTTAAACTATGAAGGTCAGCATCAGTGTTGAATCTCTCCAAACCCTGAACAATTGACCCTGGAGAAGTGTGTGACGCTGCATCATCATTACCTTTATTTTGTAAACAGGCGGACTGGTGCGGCCTGGAAACTGAAGCGGCTGTGACGTCCGATTACAACAGATGCAATCAAAAACTGCAAGCTGGAACTGAGTGTTGTAAGAGCAACGTGAGAGGTGCTTTCCTCTACAATATATTTTCTCACATTTGGAATGGGCCTCCCGATTAAATACGCGCCGTAAGTTCGTTACCTCGTCTTTGCCCCCTACTTAATAATATACTCATAAATGACGCATCTGTCACTCACCACGCCACCATCCACAATTGGCAGGCCAGTGAAAATATATCAGGACCTCTGAAAGCATAAAGCAGAGTTTCACCAACCTCATGTACCTTTGGTCTCAATGAAGTCAAGAACTTTTCAGGGGTGTTTGATTACTAGTTCATCTACTTGCATTGTGCGGTCGCCAAAGTACAAGCAAGAAAAATGCTAATACATTTAATGCGGAATCACTTCTTCCTTTACTTTTACAAACATCCCATATCTAAAAACGAGCATGACGTTAACGTGAGAAAAACAGAAGAGTTATTTTACTATGCATAGGTTAAAGCGAACATATAGCCCTGATAAGTCTGAAAAGATGAGAACTTCTCTCTTCTAAGTTTGTCTCCCACAGAAAACCACTATCCCGTTTCCGCTCCTGCTTTCTTTTTTCCCCTCCTCTCAGCACGAACCTGACGAGAACATCCTAGGCATACTTTTGAACAATGGAGATCAAATTGCAGGAAATACTACTTCGTATGTGATACTGGAAATTGTTGGCACAATTCTTTAAGTAGTTTCCTGCGAATCTTTCCGATTTTTCTAATGCCTTCAATGCTACCACATGCGAAGCCTCGACAGTGATAACTGGTCTAAGGTGTATGGGCGGCCACAATGGTGGCGAGAATCTGGACAGACAGTTAGATCTGAGAGATCAGTTCGCTTAGTGACTCTAAAGGCAACATATTTGCAACGGTACTACGCGACAGATTCCTCTAAACATTTATCCAGTTTGGCTTGATATAATCGACTACACAGGCAATATACCCCCATGGTACTTCTGGACACTCCAATGTAAATTATGTGCGGAACCCTTCACCATCGGATTAAAGCGCTTCTAGCTTATACTTGATTCTTCCACAACAGCTGTTTCTAGTGGCACGAACTTATATTGTTGTGAATGGTAACACTTGAAGAGTGGGGAGTGCTTGAGCTTAAATATTCACCCAAGTAACGATTGTGCGGACACCTGCTGACCTATGATTTTTCCTTGAGGAACTCCACTCATCATAGGTTTCCACCCGGACAGTATCCGATTTACCCTTACTCTTTGCCTTCTATCGTACAGAAAGTCCCTAATTTAAGCTTGTAGTGAAGCACCAAATCCAAAGAAGGAGAGTTTTCTTAGTAATTTCACATGCTATACTTTGTCGGATGCTTTACTGAAGTCTATAAACACGACATCTATTGGCAGCTTACAGTCACGAGCTGCAACCCATTCCTCTCTTGCTATAAGGAGGTTAGTCAGACAGGAGTGTCCAGTACGAAAACCGTGTTGCTCTGATGGCAAAAGATTGGTTGATTCAACATGTTTAAGCACCTTATCACGAATTATTTTTTCTAAAATCGTAATGACTATATTAGTTAGACTCACAGGGCGATAGTTAGACACCAAATGGCGACTACCGGCCTTAAAAACTGAAC